ATATATATATAAAATGCACTGACAGTTCTTCATTAGAATAAATTACCCCGATTTAAAAACGACCTCCAGGACATAATCGCTACTTGCCTCGTGATGATGTCACTTCCTGTGTGTCCTGTTTGTGCAGGCGACGATGGAGGCTCTTCTGGCTTTAGGACTCCACAAACAAGCAGAACAACTTTACAGAGACTTCAGAGTTCCTGACAAAAGGTGAGACATTCAGGATGTGATGTCACTGCTCTCTCTGCTCTGATTGGCTTATATTTAGGTAGCAGCTCATTTGTGAATAGTCATAAGTTTGTGCACGTACCTGCTATTCAGTGTCCCTCCACCTGTCTACCTGTGCAGGTATTGGTGGTTAAAACTGAAGTCTCTGGCAGAGAAAGAGGAATGGGAGGAGTTGGAGAAGTTCTCAAAGAGCAAGAAGTCTCCTATTGGATACCTGGTAAGAACAAGCCCCGCCCCTTCACTATCGACCTGATATTCAATAAAGATTTTAATTTCAAATAAAGAGAGAACTATATTTCCCATGATTATTAGCACTGTGTCTTGTTCAGGCGTTTGTTGACGTTTGCATGAAGTGTAACAACAAGTACGAAGCCAAGAAGTACGTTTCTAAGGTAACACCTGAGCAGAAGGTCAAAGCTCACCTGGCCATCAGGTAAGACTCTGAGCACCTGTGATTTCTTCAGACAGGTAACACCTGACCACTCAGGTAACTCTTCATCTTCTCTTCTTGTCAGTGATCTGGAGGGGGCGGCGGATGCTGCCATCGAACACAAGAATGAATCAGAGATGGCGGCGGTCCTCTCCAGATGCTCCGCCTCCGATCGCTCGTTGATTGACAGGTTGAACCGAGCCAGAGCCTCCGTTGCCAAAAAGTGACCCTTTATTCAGAGTGTATGTCCAGAGACAGCAGAGACTCTGCTGCCAAATAGTGACCCTCAGTTTGCTTTCTGATTGGTCATTACCATCGTCGTGTACTATTCTTCATATGTTTTAATGTGTAACAGAGCTGATCATATTATTAATTATATGATTATTGATCATCCAGCTGTAACATGTATTCTTCTTCTGTGTTTCTGTGTGAATAAAAAAAGAAAAAGAAATGTTTGTTCATTTTATTGTGTAAAATGCACATTAATGCTAATTGACTCCAACAGGATACCAGTGGTCTGCTGGCAGGAGAACATATTGATCCAAAGGTACTGATCGGGTTTTTAAATCCACCAACATAAACCATCAATAGTGATAATGATCAGCTGTGATAAAATATATATATATATATTAT